AACTCTTTCCTGCCATGTAATGTCCAAAATCTTCCTTAGTGTTACAGTGCATGTAACACTAAATCAACCTTTAAAAAAGTGTGAGTGTGAAAATGAGTGTGTGGATCTCATAATGTGAGGGCTACTCTGGTCCTGCTGCTGCATTGCTGAGAGCTAAGACATGGTTTGGTTTAGCATACTGTCCAAGCTTAAGCTTGTGGTTTACATTTTTCCAAACCGCAAGCTGCTACCAAAGCTTATGCTTGGGTTTACGACTCATTGTTTGTCTGGAGCAAGACAAACCATGATCCCAGGTTCACACAACATGGCTGACTGTGATTTCCTCTGCAGGAAACTTCACTCTTATGCATTCACACTAAGCTATGGTTAGCTTTGGCTTCATGTGCGAACTAGCTCATAGCCATTTTATGCATAAAATGATTCTCTTTAATAGATGTATACAACTTATGAACCCCTAACCTGATTGTAGACTTCCAGCCCTATGTGGTGGCTTGCTAGGGTGTCAACAAAGCTCTTGATTTTGCTTCCTCTTTGCGAAGTTGCAAATATATTGGTGGTGGGCTGCTTTTGCCTTGGTTGATCTCAAGTTTGTGCAGGCCTGATTTTTAAGGGTTTCTGTTTATCAAAGTATTTTATAAATGAAAGCATTGGTTAGAATCATTTCCCAACCACAGCACTCTCTTCATAGCCTGAGTGGCGGATCATGTGTACAAGCAGCCCCACTTCCCTTTAGAAGTTCAGTATAAAGCTCAGAGCGTTAATTAACACTACCTCCTCCTGGAAGAGTCAGACATTGTATGATATTGTAGCAAAACAAACCAGAGACTGAGAGAGAGACACAGAGGAGAGCTAGAATGGGGCTGGAATGCACAGTTGTTGTTGTTGTTGTTGTTGTTGTTGTTTAGTTGTTTAGTCGTGTCCGACTCTTCATGACCCCATGGACCAGAGCACGCCAGGCACTTCTGTCTTCCACTGCCTCCTGCAGTTTAGTCAAAACTCATGCTGGTAGTTTCAAGAACACTATCCAACCATCTCATCCTCTGTCGTCCCCTTCTCCTTGTGCCCTCCATCTTTCACAACATCAGGTTCTTTTCCAGGGAGTTTTCTCTTCTCATGAGGTGGCCAAAGTATTGGATCCTCAGCTTCACAATCTGTCCTTCCAGTGAGCACTCAGGGCTGATTTCCTTCAGAATGGATAGGTTTGATCTTCTTGCAGTCCATGGGACTCTCAAGAGTCTCCTCCAGCACCATAACTCAAAAGCATCAGTTCTTCAGCGATCAGCCTTCTTTCCATACATCACTACTGGGAAAACCATAGCTTTAACTATACGGACCTTTGTTGGCAAGGCACAGAGAGGTCATTAAATCCAAACCAAATTAATCAAATCCAAAGACTTTTTGTATTTCTGCTGTTAGTATCACCTTGCCTGTTTGGCTACCTCTTTCCCCTCCCTACCCAATCCAGCCCACGGAGTGCCAGCAGCCCATGTAAGAGTAAATGAGGAAGAGACCATTGAGCTTAGTCTTCCCAGTACAGGGATAGAATGTGTCATTTCTACTCTTTTTGTCTTGAAGAGCTGCTTAACGAAAATCAGTAGGGTGTTCTGCTTCAGAACTGATTGCACATCCTTGGCCTTTGTGATTGCTGAAATATGAAATCATTTCACTTGACTCAACAAATAAATTAGTGGGTGGCACTCACATTATAAGCTTCAAGCAGCTACGTGACTCAGGAAAGAAAATGTTATTAATCAGAGTTCTTGGGGAGAAGATTCCACCATAAAGAAATTCAGGTCTGTGCTGCTTTTTTAAAAAGAAGGAATCATGTTGTAAGAAACTATCACCATATATACTAATTGTGAACTCAGGTGCTGGGTTTGTGACTGCTCTGCGGCAAAGGGGGATAGTAGAAACAAGACAGGGGAACACCTGAGTTTGCAAAAGAATAAGTATATTTAGGCAAAAACCCTAAAGAGCCCTCTCAAAAAAACCCACCCCAAAATAGCCTAATGATCTGTGATCACAGATTGTTGAGAGTCTGCTTGTGGGGGGTGTAAGAGAGACAGAGAGAGAGAGAGAGAGACCGGGGGGGGGGGGGAGGAAAAGAATGGAGTACGCTGAATAAAGGTATAGCTAGCTCCCCTGAACACTGCCCCAATGCTCTCGTTATAGTTCTCCCCTTCTGCCTCTTTTTCACGTTTTGAGTTCTAGCATGATGGAACATGGAAATAATAAAATGGCTGTTGCAGGGGAAGTGGGACCATTCTCTCACAACTTGATTCAACCCCAATAGAACTGTCATGTGTCTCTAATCTTTTATCTCTCTCCCTCCAGCTATACAGTCGTACCTTGGAAGTCAAACGGAATGCATTCCGGAAGTCCGTTCAACTTCCAAAACATTCAAAAACCAAATCGTAGCTTCTCATTGGCTGTAGGAAGCTCCTGCAGCCAATCAGAAGCCGCAGGAACTCCGTCGGACATTCGGTTCCAAAAGAACGTTTGCAAACCAGAACAATCACTCCGTGTTTGCGGCGTTTGGGAGCCAAAATGTCCGAGTTCCAGGGTGTTCTGGATCCAAGGTATGAATGTACCAGGAATAGGCATTGGAGGGGAGTGTGGAGTGTTGGACTCTGGAATTTGTCTTGACTATCAAGATACCAAAGTCAGTGCCTGCACAATGATGGAAGATGCATGTGCACACGTGGTTTTGGTTTTGTTTTGTTTTTTGAGGGGGGTTCAGAGAATCAGCTGGAAATGTTGATAAGCATTTCTGTCCTCTATGATCAGCCCTGGAGACCCTGTTCTCTGCTCCATCCAATTGTGATATCAGAAGGACAGGTATAATAGTAGCGATGCCAAGATTATCAAATTCCCTACTGGGTGAGTACCACACTTTGCCCAACTTAAAACAGTTTACCTTTTTATTCCAGTGACCCAAAATTTGCTGTTTTCAACTCTTTATGCTACCTGCTAGAGTTTTTAGTTTTGTGCTGCTGTTTATTAATACTTCAAAGGCTGCTATTTGATTGTTATTCTTGATTTGTTGTTTTAAAATTTGCTTTTAATTTTTGACCCATTATATTTTGTCCTATTGTGTTTTTACTATGAGTTTTTACAGAAACTGGGGTATAAAGTTCAAGTTATGCTAAATTAAACCATTAAATAGTGTAACACAAAAGCTTCAAAGAACAAAAGCTGCTCGTCTTAATCAGGTTCTTGACTATATCAACATCTCACATCCAAATATTCTCAGTTGTGGGGTTCTGGATAGGGACACACAAATCTGAAAGTTGCAGTTTTGTTTCACACAATTGAGTCACATGAGGTTGGTTCAGGTACACATATTCACAAATGCAACGCAGTCATTTCGCTGTTGGACGTTTATATCCATTCACATCAATTCAGATGAAATGCTTTTCAATTCACACACTGAATTCAGACATTTTAGCTGCTAGCCATCTAGTATACTGTAATCAGGTATGGAGAAAACAAGTAATAAAAATTGCTGTGTGAACAAATCCATGATTGCATTTAAATCCCATTGAAATTAAGAGTATTCATAGCTGGTTGATTTAAAAGTGAAAGGTCCTATTTTCAATCCACTTTCTAAACTTGTTTTGCACCCTGGCAGTTCTCTAGTTTTAAATTTAGACACTTTTGTTAATTGACATAATGTGAATTTACTCTAAAAATAATAATGTAATGAGCAATTATCTATGACAGGAGTGCCTTTGAGTCAGTAGACTGCTTTCACTTTATTAATGTGGAAAAAATTAATCTTTCATGCTGTCGATCTATGATATTTGTTTGTTTTCATTAACATTGCACGGTGGAAGTAAAACATTTTTTGCCTAAGTTTGTGAGCTGCTTAATCTCATTGCAGATGACTATTATTAATTTCTGTATTTGGACTTTCTAATAAAAAGAGAAAGGGGCTTAGTCTGGCAATGAAACAACAGTGATTAGATTAGAAGTCAAATTTTAAAAATAGTTTTGTTTCTTTCGTACTGTAGTTAGAAAGGAAGAGAATATGAAAGCCCTTTCAATGTCAAGTGGATGAGTGTTAAAGATTACAGATTCCTCAGGCCAGGCATTGCCTTTTGTACATGTAATTTATGCCTTTGCCTAAGCTATATCAAGCTTCTAATATGTCATCTCAAGGAGCCTGCTCTTCTATTCCCCACAACCCCAACAATGGGCACTAGACAGACATTACATTTTATTCACATCTCTGCAGGGCCAGCCCTAAACATTTTTCCATCTGATACAAAGGATGAGGTGACATTGTGCTTCCCCCATTCCACATACAGAAGCTGGTCAGATTGGTGGTTGAATCATACCAGAACAGCCACCTCTTCTGTTGGCTAGCTCAGGGGATTTGCGAAGGTCACCCATCACTTAGGAGGTCCATCACTTAGGAGGTAAGAAGGCATCGTCTTCCACTCTGCCCTGTATTCATCCCATACAGCATTGTTTGCATTCTGCTGTGGTTTGTCTTGCACCGAAACCTTACCTTATTCGTTTTGCTGTCTGCTGTGGCAAAATTATGTAACTTATGTAATAAATCACATAAATAGCATCGCTATCTTGCCTTGATGTAAATTGCATAGTTACATTGTCATTACGTTATCCCACCCCATTCATTTCAATTCAAAGCAAACAGAATGCAGATGGTGGGAGGGGACACCATCAATTAAATATCATTTGTGGATCTGTTGATCTTCATGTATAGGTGCTGCACACAGAGTGTCTTCAGAGTTCATTACAAGCAGCTCAAGAGTTTATACAAGCACAAGTGGAGGTCCTTATTTAGATAAGCACCCATTGCTTTCCCACCTTTTCTCAAACAGCAAGATGGTTTTGTAAGAGCCCAGTCATTCTTTTTGTATAGCTGCCTACATAGAAACTATTGGAAGCATATTTCTTTGAAAGCCTGGCTGTAGATCACATCTCTTCAGACAAGAAATATGTTTCTGATGCTAGGGTGTGTTTTTTCCCAGGAGGTTTCGACCTTTGTTTGCTAATGCTGACTTTGCCACTGTGATTTATGCTCTTGCAACTTCTAGACCGAGCTACCGCTGTGCATTTCACCCAGGTTCACATCTCAAATCCTTTCAGAAGATTACACTGCTGAATAAAGCAACAGCTTGCTGGAAAATGAAATATTTTGGTGAAGCATACGTACGCTCCAGTGTGCAAGGTATGCCTGCTTTATGGTTCCTGCTAGGTTTGCTTGCTTGCTTGCTTGAGACTGAGAAAGTCTTGAGAGGCAGGAGGCAGAATTCACCTAACTAGCCTTGTCGGTGGAAGCCCTGGGCAAGAACTTCCCTTGTGCAATGGGGTTTCCCCTGTCTCCTCCCCCTGTGCACTCTGAAATGGGCTCGGGGGGGGGGTCAGGAGAACCCCCAGAACAGCACTCAGGAGGAGAGGAGGGGTATCATTCTGTTTGGCAAGCTAAAATACTTGCAGTAGTGGAACTATTGGGAAAGTGTGACACTGAATTCCATCCAGAGCATCTTTTTCTTTCTTGATTCAGGTAGATAGCCATGTTGGTCTGATGCAGTCAAAACATATATATATATAAAGTAATAATAAATAAATAAGTGTATCTGAAGAAGTGTGCATGCACACAAAAGCTTATACCAAGAACAAACTTAGTTGGTCTCTAAGCTGCTACTGGACAATTTATTTTATTTTATTTTTTATTTTTCTTTCTTGGTTCAGGAACTTCAAAGAATCTAGCACCTGAGATTTATTGCTCTCCTTTCTCAATGTGGCTTTTACTGAAAAGTGCAAAAAAATATGAGAGTCATAAAGACTCAAAAGCATGAATGCAAACATTAGAACACCTACCCACACCCTAGTTATGGATTTACATTGATGCCATCCAACATCTTAAACGGTTCTTCCTGTTGTGGATCCGAGAGCACTGTAGGAATGCAATGTTGGGTTGCAAACCATTGGATATGGGCCATGCCAATTTTGAAGTCACATAGCACATGTATGTGTCAGGCTGTATTCTTGCTGAGCTCAATGGGACTCACTTGTTGAGCAGACATAGAAAATATTACACTGTAATTCATACTAAGGGGTGGTTTGCATATGCTTGCGCATGGCTTCATTTATTTGCACTTGTTTGCTGGCAACTGAAGGTGTGAACTGATTCTACTGAAAATTATTATGCAACAGATGGTGTAAAGTGATATGTAAGCTCAATGGTGTTATATCTTTGGTGTCTCATTTCTTTTACATGCACTTGTTGATACCGTGGTCATCAGCCTAATAGAAGGGCACTGCCACATGCCAACATTTTCTTGTAACAGATAGTGTATCACATCTATAAGCACCTTAGGGAAACAGTCCAGTTGATATATCTTAAAGAAGGTTCCCCAATAGAGATAATACTCAAAACTCAAGGTGTCTAACAATAGCTTAAAACCAAAACTGCTAAATCATTCACACAATAAAAGCAGAATGTGAAGGCAATAAAATGTACTGTGCAGCACATTATAACACAAATTTCAGAACAGAGCAGAAGATTAAAGCCATCCATACCTAGTTATCACTGTTATTCTAAATATGCCCCAATATTTATAGAGTACAACCCTCCATTTAGAGTCTTCATTCGTGGTTTTTATTTCAATCCACTTTTTACTGTTTTTTGTGACTTGCTCATGGATATTTTCACTTTTTGTTTTAAAGGACTGCATTTTAGTTGTTTAGTTGTGAATTGTTTGCATATCATCTGATTTTTTTGGTGCTCTATCGCTGAGCTTCCCTAGAGAATCCAGACAGTACTCCAGCATGATATTTGATGAGAACAAATGTATCAACATATTGAAAACATTTACATTCCACCTCTCTTGCACTCAGTAATTAAACTGGAGAACATCATCAGTAAATTAAACAATTATAAACACCTAAAGCAATCAAATTGCAGCAGTAGTAATGTGGCTCCTGCAGAAAGCACATTCAGAGAACAGTGCTAGTGCAAGATCCTGCTCTACTACAGTGTGCCCGTCCCTTGATTATTGACACATATAATGGTCCTGTCTCCTGCTTTTCAGCATAGGGATACATATTTCCAGTTCTGGAGTCTGTAAAGGCCTATTATTATTATTATTATTATTGTTGTTGTTGTTGTTGTTGTTGTTGTTGCCACAGGTCTGGAACACCTGGTAGAACACCAGAATTGCCCAGAGTCATCTCCCGATAGTACCCTTTGTTGGTTTTGCTGTCAGAACCGGTCTGCTTAATTAGCCTTTGGAACTCCAAGCACTGTATCTGGAAAATCTTGCTGTGACTGAGGAAACTTATTGGCTTTCTGCACCATTAGATTTACCTTGATGACCTTGATTGCCGTTTCCTTTGCCTGTGTTTGAACAGAGCATAAAGAACACAGTCTTTTAGAACTTTTCTTTTCTCACTGCAGTCTCATTCTTCCCTCTGCTGCCTCTGAAGCTGAAGTTGCACAGCGCAGCTGAGCCATTCACTGAATGCTCTCTTCCCCTCTCTCCTGGAAAGCTTTCAACGGTCCACTATTCATTTGCTCTTTCGTTATACTTTCTAAATAAAACTCAATTTCCTGGAAGAGCTCTTGTCTCTGTTGCTCCCTGTACGTATATCTCTCCTGTAACTCAGCTGCTGAAGCAACAGGACATTCTGCGACCTTGGCTAAACACTTGCCGTGTGGGTGCCTGTTTGCATGCTAGCTCTACTGGGCAAACGGCCATGGCAGGACACAGCCTGGGTCACAATGGGGAAACAGTTGCCCTAGCACACTTGAGCCCTGCCATCCATGTTCTGAAAGGGCATATACCTCAAATATGGTGAGGTAGTCTCCAGTCATGCTTAAAGGCGTGTTTTATTTTTAGCATTTATTTTATTTTTACATCCCTATCCAAGAAGCTCAAAGTGGTGTTCACAGCTCTCCTCCTTCCCATTTTATCCTCACAACAACCCTGTGGGGTAGAGGTTAGGCTGAAAGCAAGCGACTGGCCCAATGTCACCCAGTGAACTTCATGGCTGAGTGGGTATTTCAACCAGGGTCTCCCAGGTCTTAGTACTGTCACTAAAGAAGAAGAGTTTGGATTTGATACCCCGCCTTTCACTCCCCTTAAGAAGTCTCAAAGCGGCTAACATTCTCCTTTCCCTTCCTCCCCCACAACAAACACTCTGTGAGGTGAGTGGGGCCGAGAGACTTCAGAGAAGTGTGAACTGCTCAAGGTCACCCAGCAGCTGCATGTGGAGGAGCGAAGACGCGAACCCGGTTCACCAGATTACGGGCCTACCGCTCTTAACCACTACACCACACTGGCTCTCACCAGGTTTTCCCTTGGAAAGGAGCAAGACAAAGGGGAAGCCGTTTAGACCTGTGCCTAGGAAGTGTGGGCCAAGTGGGAAACAGCTTTGACCCATGCTTTCTAGGCATGGCACAAGCAGAAGTGTTGATGAACCCTCTGCCTATACAGGCAGCTAGCCAATCTCCCATGCACAGGAACCACCCACCCTCACTGACTCCATCTTTCCATGGGTTTGAACTCAGTTTAGTGGCCCTCATTCAATCTACCACTGTGTCCAGACAATGGTTCAGATCTTACACATCCTCTCAGATGTTAATGGAGAATTAAGAGTTGCAAGTCATCAGTGTATTAATGACATTTTGCCCTCTAGCGCCTAATGACACCATATAGATGTTAAACGTTATTGGGGTCAAGACCATAGTGCAAGGACCATGGGCTAAAACAAAATCTCCCAGTGCTATTTTCTGTCCATGGCCCTAGAGGGGTCCCAATACTCATCCCACAGAGTTGGTCAAGGAGCATATCATAGTCAATGGTACCAAAGGCTGCCGAGAAGTTTGGGAGCAGAGTCACCCATCCCACTATCAATACAGGTCATCCATCAGAGCAACCTAGGCTGATTCAGTCCCAGTGTTGAAAAAGTTGACTTTCTGGGCATGAAGAAAAGAAAAGAAAAGCTAACTGTGGGGCATTTGAGGTAGCCGTGACTTTTGTTTGGGGGAGAATTCGAGCTGTAGGAGGTGCTGATTTGCAGTAATTTCCACTACTGTGTCACGAAATCATAGCAAACATGGAGCTGCAGAGTGAACACGCCTTCATTTTCTATTTCATTCCAACCTATGGAGCAGCATTATAAATAGCCTAAGTAATTGTAAGCAGGAAAAGCTGACAGTCATGATCCTGGTATAAAATGAGCACCACCCTCCACCTACAGGCAGTCATATAGAAGAAATAAAATACAGTTTAATTTTATCTTTCCAAGTCCAGCCCACATATGAAAGGCTGTGACTACAACAGTTTTTATTTATTTCCATTTAGGCAAAACAAGTCTTGCAAAACTGAAACTGCTGATAGCTCACTGTTTAAGTCAAATGGGTATAATGTATCTCAGGATATAACTTGTTCTTTTAAAATAAAGAGTCTGAGATTCTGCTTAATTTAATGCAAGTATTATTATTTTTAGGAACTCTAGTCTCTTATGGACATTTTTTAGTCCAAGCAACAATGCCATATGCACCCAAATAATCTACATGTATTGATGCCTATTGAACTTAGCCACCACCTGGGCATGGATTTTTAAAAAATCTTTTTAAAAGTGAAGTTCCTGATTTAATTTTTCTGCCTTCTTTTTCTATATAGGTATGTATATAGGTAAGCAGGTATTAATTCACCAACAAAATGTCACCCTGCGCCTCCAGCTGTTTTTCTCTATTTTGCACCTCACATCATAATTTCCGGAAGGGTATATTAAGAATATTTATGTTAACTATTAATGAATAATAATAATCTAAGATAAGTATTATTAATCATTGCATAATTATGTGGATATTATTAAACTCCACAAAGTAATATTCCTTGAATATTCCTAATGGACTTGGCATTCTTCATATTGGTTTGGAGATTAATAGTTCCAGGTTTGGAGGATTGATGCATGCATGCTGTACCCAGATTTCACTGTGATCTTTCATGCCAGATGCGCAGAAGTGAGCTTTTGCATCCTATTTTTTAACCTGCATGGAAGATTAGAAAGCAGTTTTGTCAGGTCAAACAAATGAAGTGTTCTGGCAACTTCTCCCCAGAGAGTTTACAGAAAGACTTAAAGCTCCATGTGTGATTGTGGGCTTGGACTTTTAGCATAGTCGTCTGTTTCACAGACCCAACAAACCAAATCAGAGAA